TTATTTATTTGCACATTTAATATCAGGATTGTCATTTTAAAATATTATAATATTTAAATATAATTAATTAATTATTTTTCCCCATTAAATGTACTGTAGAAGCACTACTCTGTGTGACAAAATCCGCATTTTATTGTAAAACATTTTATTCATCACAAAGAAAGAGGACTGTGCATCACTACATGATGCCTATGGATGAGAGCTGATGGGCTTTGTTTTGGTGATCCACACTGCTCATCTTCCCTGTCTGGAAAAAAGTGAATGCATTAATTTAACGGTTTGAAAACCAGGTCCCCCAGTTTTAAGAGAGAATATTAATGCATATCAATGAAACTTATAACAAATGTCGTTATGCCATAAATAGGCAGCTCATAGTGTTTATATTCTTATAGAGGGAACAATTTTGGTTTCTTGTCAGATTTAAAGAAAATTATATGAATGATTTTTACTGTTTTCCAAAGGTCCAAATGAAATTTCTGGTAGAGCAGATGAGAAGACCTGACTACATGGACGCGCTGCAAAAATTCACCTCCCCACTGAATCCTGCACATCAGCTGGGTAACCTTCGGTATGTTTTTGTTATAAATAATAGTGTGCATTGTAAACATTTCTTTTTATTAATACAAAAAGAGCAACAACATATTTGCTTTTCAGGCTGGAGGAATGCAGGATGATGTCATCAGCCAAAAGACCTCTTTGGCTTAACTGGGAGAACCCAGACATGATGTCCGAGCTCCTTTTTCAGAACAACGAAATCATTTTCAAAAACGGCGATGGTATGTTCATTTTGTGTATCTAGGGCAATGACTGAGGGCATTACTTTTAGTTTGTATCAGTGCACATAAATAGAGGGACTATGGAGTGCTGTGTGAATGCACTGTGACTCACCCAGAGCCTGAAAGGCATAATACGGTCCACAAGATCCGTCTTATTTCTGCTTTTTGTACAATATTCAGGAAGACGTCTTGGTGCTAGTTTAACCACACATGATAGGAGCTGCTTGTGCATCTTCCTGCATCAGCTGTGACCAAAATACATTTGACAGCTCTGCTTCTTAGTGCTGCACAGGGCTGATCAAAGAGCAGCTCAGACCCACAGTCTTCTTCACCTGTGTCTCTGCAGATCTGCGGCAGGACATGCTGACGCTGCAGATCATCAGGATAATGGAGAACATCTGGCAGAACCAGGGCCTTGATCTCAGGTATGATCCTCTCTTACTCAGACAGCCAGGATGCAGGTACACACTAATGGCACTCAACTGCTTTCATGTTCTCCACTTTGCACTTGAATATAGATGAGCTGCATCTACAGCAGCACCTCAGGTCCACTATAGATTTGAGATTAGGCTGTTAAACATGCTCAATGAACAAGCTGTTATGTTGGAGACTAAACTATAACTGATTCTTCAAGCCTTTACCACATTAACACTTTGTTTATCTTTTAGGATGCTGCCATATGGCTGTCTCTCTATTGGGGACTGTGTGGGTTTGATTGAGGTGGTGCGTAACTCCCACACCATCATGCAGATCCAATGTAAGGGTGGCCTGAAGGGGGCGCTGCAGTTCAACAGTCACACTCTGCACCAATGGCTCAAGGATAAAAACAAGGGAGAAATGTGAGTAAGCAGATTTCTCCAGGAACGTTTTGGCCTGAAATTGGTGATTTAGTGCAGAAAGCTGTACCTGGGTTTCACTGCAAAACTAATAAATGTGGTACTTTGTTTTTGTCTGCAAACTCTTGTGGTGCAAAGTGTAATGTATCTGTGTTGTTATAAATCATACTCTTTGCAAATGTCAGCACAAACTTTACACAAATATTATGTGCATTTAGCCTGCCTACGTATTCAACACGTATTCCCTTATTACTTGTTGAGTGTGATTTGTCCAAATTGAGTTTATTTTATGAATGTGTTTAAATATGTGTTTTTAGGTATGACCAGGCAATTGATCTCTTCACACGGTCCTGTGCGGGATACTGTGTCGCCACATTTATTTTGGGTATTGGGGACAGACACAATAGTAACATCATGGTCAAAGATGATGGACAGGTTGGTATTTTCTTTATCTATTTTAATGTTTTAATATGTGGAATCTTTTAACCCTCTGTTTTAATATAATGTATTTGTTTAAAGCTGTTTCACATAGACTTCGGTCATTTTCTTGATCACAAAAAGAAAAAGTTTGGATACAAGAGGGAGCGTGTTCCCTTTGTGCTTACACAGGACTTCCTCATTGTCATCAGTAAAGGAACTCAGGAATGCACCAAAACAAGAGAGTTTGAAAGGTAAGGACAACATTTAATGTCAGCTGCATGTTTATGACACTTTTACTTAGGATCTGGGTGGATCATTGGGTTAATTTTTCCAATACTTTTGTTCCAAATTCCAAATTTTGTGTGCTACACAAAATAACTTTGAGTTTATTTCAGGGATAATGCACATGTCAAGTCTTAGCAAAAGTGCTAGTTTCCACCTGCACACATTACAGTAAAATTATGTAAAGGTATCCTGACTGAGCAGTTTGTTCAGTAAAACAATCAGTCTTGCGTCTCATTGTGTCCTGTTACTATGTAATTACCTTAGACATTTCATTACCGTGCTCCTGCCTACCATGTTGTCGCTGTTGTAAAGCACACCATCCTCCAACTATGCAGCATTTGAAGAATACTCATAATCAGACTTAATCTGTTAAGTGTTTGTTTGTTTTTTTACAGTAACTTGTTCTCTTTTTAATCCTAAATAAAGTTTATACGCTTTTCAAAATTATCTCAGATATGTGTCTTTCCGTATTTATCTCACAGATTTCAGGAAATGTGCTACAAGGCGTACCTGGCGATCCGGCAGCATGCCAACCTCTTCATTAACCTGTTCTCCATGATGCTGGGCTCTGGGATGCCAGAGCTGCAGTCCTTTGATGACATCGCCTACATCCGCAAAACTTTGGCGCTGGACAAGTCGGAACAGGAGGCCTTGGACTACTTTATGAAACAGATGAACGATGCTCATCATGGCGGCTGGACTACAAAAATGGACTGGATCTTCCACACTATTCGGCAGCACGCCATGAACTGAGAAGACTCTCTTCTTCTGTTGTATTCCTCCAAGCATCAGCATTAGGAAAGGAACATCTACAGGAAGCTTTGAAGTGGATTCTCCTCATCTACACTACCTATTACATGAAGATGGTGCAAGCCCAATTTGAGCAAACTAGTCTATAATGCAATCCTACAAAACTGTCACATAACTAAAAGTTACCACTTAATCTGTAGTGCACAGATGATGTCCGAGGTTCAGGATTTTAAAAACTGACTTTGTACAGCAGTGTATTGGAGCGTACGATGCACATATTCCTTTTGTTTACTCTGAGCCAAAGTACTACGAGTGTACCCCACTACTCTGCAGTCTTACAGTACAGCTACTATTCCAGTCTGTGTGTACGCAAAGCACTGATCCCTGCAGTATGTGGTGTGTTGTTTTCAGTATTATTGTTTTGAGTCTCATGTCTGTTGTCTATTACAGATATTTTTATCCACCAGCCGTTATGAGCTGGGTGAGGGTTTTGCAGCAAAGGCACAAGGACATGTGGTCTCCTTTAGTGTGTGGTGCTGTTACACTATGCAAGTTGTCCTACAATGTAAGTAGTGATGCAGATTGCAGATCGTATGTGCATTCCCGGTGTGCTGTGACATTTGCCTGTCCATCTGGCTTTAGCTTCTTCAAAGTAGTCATTGTAATATTTTTTTTTAGTTATCCTTGTATTTTGTTTAGCCTTAAACAGACAGTGGAAGGTGGACATTTCTAACTGAAATGTTTTCAAATTGTTTAAATGTCCTATTTCCTTTGAATGTTGTTGCTACAGATCATATATTGTGGCAAAAGTATTTTATTTTCAGTAATGGTGCACTACTCGCATACTTGTCAGGTAGCATCGCACAACCTCATTATGGTTGTGGAGAGATGCCCCATGCTCAAAGCTCAAATGTTCATGAAAAACACATGTAATTGAATGAATGCAAAATGAATTAAAGTTTAATTCTATGGAACATTCAAGGCAAAAAAAATCCTGAATCTTAATGGGATTTTTTCTAGAATTTAGACTTTAACTACTGACTACTACTTTTCCACAATATTCTGATGTGCCCCTATATTTCAAAGTTGTTATCTGTGATCTTGTGTTCCATGCATAGACTGGAGGTCTTTTATTCTTGTAACCAAAATGGTGCGTAGCCTTGGCGATCCACAGACATTTGCAAGAAGTGCAATGCTTTCTGCTGCAACTATATTGACTCTGTACAGGATACAGAGCACTGGGCCGGACCCAATCAAAAATAAAAGGAAATCTAGGCCCTTGATAAAATGTTCTCCCTATGTGCTTCTGTTTTGCATTATGCATGAATCCTCAACTATCTTCTTTTGTTTGAAAATGTTTACTTGAATTTTGTGTCTGAATCTTTGTTACTTGTGTGAAGTAGAACAAAGTCGCAATGAAGGTAACGGATAATGATACGTGCAAATGTTTTCATTGAATAACTACAGAGGTAATATATTTTTGTATTTTTTAAAATGTAAACTTAAAAACAGCTAACCAAAAACACTAAACAGGAGGAATCATGCAAATCATCATAGCTCAATAAAGATGAGAACTGACCAGGCTGTGGTGAAATGAAGAACGAAAGTGAGAAGCACAAAATGGAAGCAGCATGTTTCAATGTTATATCCACACATTTGTATATTCTTCATAAAGCTCCTCAAATACTTGGTTTGTCATCCTCATTTGACCATGTCTGTTAAGAATAAGTGTGTTTATTGCACCCATTGAATAAAGCATTTTCCTATCAAATTACTATGGCACTATGGTAATATGCAATATATCCAAGGCACACTGGACCATTAATGAAGCTATATGTAAAAAATATTTCAAGTCAGTATTTAACAATCATTTCATCATTAATAACAAACACAAAATAAATCTGAACTTTAAATTAAGGCACATTTGTATTACTCAGGCAGGAGACAGGAGACTGGACTTCCTGAGTAGTGTATACAGTTTAGTTTGTTTGTTCCCTACCTCGCTGCTCAGATGGGACAGGTACTGGGTGAGTTTGACCAGAGCCACCAGCAGGACCCCGCCCCCCAGCATCAGGCAGGGCCAGAGCAGAGCCAGCAGGGCAGTCTGGAGGCTGTATTTTCGCTCCAGAATCCCATCTTTGGGCTGCTGTGATTGGTCAGTGAGGCAGGTAAAAGTCCTCCCCAGGTAGGTGTCTAAACTCCTCTTCACCTGCTCCACTTCTGCGACAAGAGCCGGAGCATCCAGCTGACATTTAGGTACATAGAAACACTGCAGGATTGGAAATATACTATTTAAAACTTTATCAATATCTGGCATACATCTTAAATTAAGATCAGGTTCAGTTGTAATTGTGATACAGTAAGAGTGCAGACTATATGCAGTTCCTTTAAATTTAGTTCAAAATGTCATATTTCCTCTAGTTGTGATACCCCACATGTTGTATCCCTGTGGTACCTCTGGAGTGAGAAGCACAGCCTCCTCGTCGTAATGTAGCAGTCCCTGTCCTGTTTGTCCCATGGGTGCTGTCCCGCTAAGGTTGACCATGGCTCGGAGACATGGGACGGTGCTCACGCCTCTGCAGCTCACCCACTCGTCCAGCACCTGTGTGTGAACCAGGGTGCAGTTGACTTGCATCTCCCAGTCACTGAAACAACAGCAAAATCTTATGGAAGGTACTAATTCGTCTCTTTTTAACAGACCACCATTTTTAATATTTTACTTGTTTTACAATTTGGCAATGAAGCAAATACACTCTAGTAGAATGTCTGCCGTGCAATGTGGGATTTCATCTTTGCACAATTGTTTTGAATATGATGACTAAAATGAATAACATCTTGTTTTGAAAGTATAACACATTCATTAGCAAAGAATAAAGAGGGTCAGAACAAATTATACAACAAAGCACAAACCATTTTTTTCAGATGACAATAGAGGAGAAGTAGTTTTTTAGGGATTTTAGACGTGCGCTAGACTGCCTAAGGAGACTTGCAATTGTACTTTAGACTAGTTATCTTCTACCTGTTGATGTACGGCTTGACAATGGTGAATCCGACCACACAGAACATGAGCACAGCAAAAGCCATCATAGTGAATCCCAGCAGGATGGCTCTATCCTCCCCGATACTGGACACAGACATGGGAGTCCGGCTGCGGTAGGCTCTGTGCAGGTCCACTCCTCTGCTCCACTCCTGCTCCGGAGCAGCTGCTGCATTCAGGAGCTCTCTGTGTCTGTCATATATGTGGGTGGGTGACATTGACAACAATAAATATTTCATAAATATTTCAGCATATGTTTTTGAGTTTCCCAGACACTGATATTTAGTCTAAATCTATCTATAGTTTTTTTTTGTTTTTGGTTTTTTGTTTTGTTTCTGTTTTTGCAGCATTTTGAGAGTTATTGTAATCAATAATAATCCAGTATTCAAAATCTGACATCTTCAAAACAATGTTCACAATATTATAGATAATTCAATATTGCATACCTTCTCTCATATAAACACCTATCAGCCATAAAATTATGACTACCAGCAATAGGAATACATTAACATAGATAGTGAGGAAAATATTTTGCATTTTATGTCTGAATTGGACTGAATGTTGAGAACACATTGAAATGATAAAAACTATGATTCCAAATTGAATCTCTTTCAAACTTTCATAATTATCTTCTTCTGTACCTATAATTACAATCAAAAATGTTACAAACTCATTTACGAAATGGTTATGGATGGGATCGATGAAATCCAGCCGAGATTTAAGTGTGCTTTTGGTTTCAGTCTCAGAAGATGTCATGCACACCGGCCAAATTGATTTTGTTTCCAGTGAAGCTTAGATATTTGATAGAAGACAAAATGCTAAACAGTCATTTGTTTTTCTACGGCTCCTGTGAGCACGCTCCAAATTAAGTCATAAATGGATTCTCTGTAATTAGCTCTCTTTGGTTTATTTTATATTTATTTGGCATTTGTTTTTGTTTATTTTATTTTTTTTTTTTTTTTACATCCAAGACCAAAGCACAGGTCATACACAAATGGTAGAGGTGGGTAGAGTAGCCAAAAATTAAAAGTAAAAGTACCTCAGCGACAGAAGATAGATTATAGATGAGTACAAAGGGGTCGAAGAAAGAGAAATTGCCTAACTCTAAGAGGAACTTTGTGGATCATCATAAACATCTGCTTCATGATATGAAGTTAAAGTCACTGGACAAAACATTGATAGTGTATAAAAATGTGTGGTATTTTCAAAAGATAGACCTAAATCATGTCTGAAGGAGTGGTGCAAGTAAACTTAAAACTTCATTAAAAACTACTCTGAGAAGTATAACTTTAAAATGTTACTCAACATAAAAGTTACTCCTAAATATTCCAGTTACACAATGGGGTAGATGAATAGAAATATAAATAGCAATTCTGTACCCAGACCAGAATCTGACACAAATAAGGGTTCAGTGATTTCTGTGGTAAACAATGATTTATCTATTTATTTATTTATTTATTTTTTATTAAGAGTGCACATTTTTCCACAGCAATCATATTAAAGGTGCAATGTGTAACTCTTCTGGTGGAAGGTCCATCAAATGCAACATTATTGCTTTGAATGTTCCACAGTATGGTATTAAACCTTTCCCTCTTCGTAGAGACCAAACCAGACCAAGTCGCAGGTCAGGTCTGTGAAGAGGAAACCCTGCTCACAGTCAGAATGCCTGTTTTTCTAGATATTTTTGAGCTATACAGCTACCTGTAATTTAAAAAATGTAAGTTTAGATATGTTTAATGTCATACAGTGAAACATGTCAAACAGAGCAATGACACGTCCATAGAAACAAACAGGTGACGGACCCCCAACCAAAAAGTTACACAGCGCACCTTTATGCCTGCTAATATGCTCACCATTTAAACGTTAGTTTTCAACAATATTTTAACTATGGCCCAAACAGCATTTCTCTTCGAGCTGCCAGTTGTTCTCACTCTCTCCTCTTACCGTGTCTGACGTCTGCGCGCACCCTGCAGATTGATGTTAATGGGGATGTTGAATGACCTCCGGGGAGATGCTGTGTTCAAAAACATCCCTCCAAATCTCAAACTGACTTGTGACAAACTTCTGTGACAGTGCAGGTCCTCACAAAGCAGATCCCCTGTCTCCTTCGAGGGGCCTGAAAAGCACTGCAGCCTTCATTTACTCTGGTGCTGTTGACAAAGCTCAAAGGTGAGAGCCGAGCACCTTCCGCCCTCATGACTGTTGCTATGGAGACTGGCGCAGGTACGGCAGGTAGGATGGTAATGACCTCTCTGTGGATCAGGGCATCCCAGCAGTGATTTGTTTTGGAAAGAAGAAGAGGATTGTTGAAAGGTAATAGTAAAAACTTAAATTACATCTGGACAACATAAAGGAGGATGGACTAAAAGACGAGGGAAATAAATTACATTTAGGTGAGTAGTGAGTCTATCTTTGTCACTCAACACAGGCCCAATTTTGTGAAAAAGGGAGCTTTTTGAATTATGTTCCAGAAAATTAATTTTGTCTTCTTGTTATATAGACTTTATATAAAAGTTATATAAACTTTGTGTTTCTTCTAATAAGACAACTTTGTAAAAAGCAAAATAGCTTATAGAGGCAGAAGTGCTGCCACTACCATTTTAATCTATTCAGTATTTCAGTATCAATCAAACAATCAAGCGCTTTACAGTAAAACTAAACTAAACAGTTTGGTCTTGAGATTACTATCTGTGACATAATTGTGACAACAGTAGAGATCAAGACTACAGTGATAGGCACTAAACGTATAAATCTTTATTCAATAACAGGTATGTTTATTGCAAAAAATGCCTTGAGAAACCATCTCTTCACAGATCTGACAAGTATCTTGGCATTGTAGTGTCAATAGTGTCTTCATAGTAAATAATTGAAGCCTTATTTCCAGTTTTTGATATCTTATAGCACTGTTCCCATCTTTTTCTTGTTTGGATAAGGCTGCACAATGCTCTCTGTGTTTTTATTGCAAACATTTGTATTATTCATACAGTTCAGTGGAAAAGCATATGGGGCCATTACGTTGGTGGCAGTTGTGTTTAACATACAGGCCCAGGGCTATAAAGACTACAGCAGCATGAGCCCCACACTCTGCAAAACTCATTTATATCACACTCAAGTGAGATATACATACTGTCATTTGGGCTAGAGATAAACAAATAAACAAACAAATAAATAAATAAATCACATAGTTTCAGAAAACTATTTATTTATTAAAATGCATTAAGGGTGTTACATTGCTTCTTTCAAACAAAAGGCATTTTGTTCTTATTTGTTTATTTTATTTGTTTATTTTATTTCTTTATTTATGTTGCTTAGCCCACCTGTGCTAGTTTGTATAAAATTGGGAGTTGGTCCAGGATTTAGATTTGACAGTGACTTGATGCAACCAAGAAAACATCATACCTCAGCCTATAGACAACCATTACCTTAAGACCTCTCGGTTGACAAAAGATGATATTAGAATAACTTAGGGCTCATATAGGAGTTGTTAAAAAAGTTTTCAAACAAACTTTATTTTCTTTGGGGTACTGTGCGAAACTGAAGTTCTTCTGATGCAACAGTAGAAAACATGATTAAATATGCATTAAGCCGAGTGTACTTTACCTCACCTGGAAACCTGAGACACTGCCTGACAGCGAGGGTTACAGTGTGGATTCAAACACAAATGTATCAACAGCTCCAATATAGATGACTACAATATGTCTAACTGATAATCATGTGATCTCCATGTGCAACAGCTGGACAGATTCCTCAAGGTTTAATTGGACGCACACTGTCCCCTGTTATCTGATGAGCTCTGAGGACATGATTTTAAGACGGACGCCGCCTTTTAACGACATATAAAAGGCACAATGGACAATCTCAAAAAGAGGAATCTAACTTTTTTCACCATCGGACTGATTTTCATGCTCAGTGGGATAGAGTATGGTAAGTTCAAAGTGACCAGTCTAATTTAGGTTTATATTCTTGAAGTCACCCTTGTGTACCTCTCCCCAGCTGTCATTCTACCCACAATATGGCGGTATCTACAGATTCTGGACGCACCTCCGTACTTCCTGGGCCTGGGGCTGTCTGCCTTCAGTTTGAGTGGATTGTTGACCGGACCCCTCTTTGGGTACTGGTCAGACCAGAGCAAGGCCACAAAGGGAATCATTCTGTTCTCCAATGTCTTTGAGATTGTTGGTGAGGGGAATTTCATCCATTTCTTTCTTTTGTTACTTAATCAATTTCTTTATTTCTAATAGAAGTGCAATAAAAAGTCTGGTGGTGGGTTTGCCATCTGCTTGTCTCTGTGTGCTTTGCTTTGAAAATTTCCACAGCATGGCATTAAACTTAAATATCTCCATAGAAACAAGCAGAGTGCATCAATAGGCCAAGTTACAGGTCTGGTATATGGAGAGGTGAACCTGCTCACAGTAAGAATGCATGTTTGTCTAGATACTTTTGAGCAATAAAAGAACGTGTAATTTACTTCAGGCAAGATGGATCAATTTAATATTGTCTGTAGAATGTTGTAAGCAGAGACAAGCAGGTGGCAGACCCCACATCAAAATGTTTCATATAGTTCACCTTCAATAATGAAAGAATCAATTTACACTAATTGGTTCCTATTAACTACTTGAGCTTTTGGCCCTATGTCGCATTTAAAGATGTAGGCTACACTTAGATGTATATTTAGACTGCGCATCATCATCCTGTCAACATGAAATTAATAAAAACTGCAGTTCATTTTGTGTAGGATAGAAGTCATCTATCTTAAATAGCCTATATTAAGCTATTTTCTGATCTATACTATAATGTTGTTTCCCCATCACAAAATACCTGGCCTGGAGTTGTGTTTTATTTCATTCACACATGTTTAAGACACAAATCCTGCTTATTTAGACTTAGATTTCAAAGAGTGCTTCTCTCAAACATAAAACACTCTGTTACACCTTGTGATGTCATGTGGTAATACAGGAAGTGCTCCACTGTGCTTTTAAACTCCATACACCTTCACAATCATTGAATCATTTGGATAATTTCAGCTCTAGAACTGTCAGTCTCTATTAAACAAAAGGTAAAAGGTATCTGTTGATTTGAAAACTGCTGCTTAATGACATCACATTGTGGAAAAGAGCATTTTGAGCTTTGGGGATGTAGACAGACTAACAATTACTCAAACATGTGTGACTCAAACAAAAGAAAACTCCAGGTATGTTTTTGATGAGGTAACACCATTCATACATGACTTAAATCTCACACAAGTCAATTTTGCTTAATATAGGCCCTTTAAGCCTTTGCTTGCATGTTTTTATTGTGACTTCTCTTCTCCCACAGGTAACTTCATGTATTTTATTGGATACTCAAAGTGGCTGTTGTTAGGCAGTCGTCTTGTGGCGGGTGAGTCCTCTTCCTCTCAGCATGTGCATCTAAAACAACATGTGTGGACTCTGGATTTACATATCACAGTGTCCTCTTCAGGTATCGGTGCAGGAGCAGGTTCTTCCATTTTCGGCTTTTTGACTCGCACCACTCGACCTGACGAGCGGGCCGGGATATTTGCTGCTATAATGGCATGTCGACAAGCTGGTCTTCTCGTCGGTCAGTATCACTACAGCTTTTCTATTGATACTTTGCAGCTGATGTCATCCACATTCTCTGGGGGTGTGAAGCTGACTTATTTTGAATTTATTATTACAATTTATATTTTTACTCTTCTATATTATAATATATTGTGATGTGTGAGCTACTATGTCCAAATATTTTCCCTTGTGGATCAATAAAGTTTGTTTAAGTCTAAGTCTAACTGTAAGCACTGCTCGAGTTAAACTTAATCTTAGCTTTATTTGAACACAGAAATACTTGATTTAGATAGAAGTACAACAAGTGACATTATCTGTGTTGTTAAACAAGTCTCTCATAAGTAAAATTACTGTCACAACCCAGCAGTTTTTCAATTAGTCACTCTCACGTTTTTGTTGAAAATCAAACACCTAAACAGGACCATGAACAATCCTGATGCTCACAGACTCCTGAAAGTTAGTTATTTAAATTCATTTTGTATTTTTTCAGACAATATTAAAAATTTTGTGTGCACTGTGTCACCATGGTAACTGTTGAACATTCTGCCAATAGAGATCCATATAGGAAACCCCCAGCGTGATGTCACTGCAAAGTATCAATTGTGTTTGTCATTTGTAGCAGCTGGAGAACAAAAGGTGTGTGGTCTTATGTTTTGTCTTAAAAGCATCTCTTCCATTCTCTCTAGGGCCGGCGTTCAACTTGTTCTTGCGTCTGTGTGATTTCAGACTGGGGCCCTTTGTAGTGAACAAGTACACGTCCCCTGGGGTAACCACTCTTTCATAATCACAGATCTGCCATGCTGTAACAAATCCAGCGTCCCCAAATATTCTTCATATAATCTTATTCTTAGCATAGGTTCTGCTTCTTATCTCAGGTAGAAAAATACAATGCACAGCTACACTTACACACCTAACAAGCCATATTGATTTATTTACATCTCGTGAGTTGTCTAAAATGAACCACCTGTGAACCAGATGGGACCTCATTGAGTTCTATCAAAGAGATGCCACATTTTACTTTTGTTCAACACACAATTTGGGAGCACATTTTCATCATTTCATAATTGCTAAATGTTCAAGGCTGTTAACTCTTACTTGTATTCATTCATGTTAATGGGGGAGCTTTTATGCTCAGCTGGATTGAGGAACACACTGACAGTCAGTGCCTAAAGGGGTTAGAAGGGAACTCTAACATGGGTCCTGCAGATGTCATTCAGAGTGCACTGCTTTATGTCTTTCACTAGATGCATCCAGGGACATGTGTTAGGACTGGTGTAACTTAAAGGTGTACTATGTCACTTTTTTGAGGGGGATCTGCAACCTGCATGTCTCCATGGGAATGTGATTGCTTTGAATTGATTGTTCCACAGTATGGTAAAACACTTATGATTTAATAAGTGTTTTTCTGGCCAAAAATACCCTGAAAAACAAAACTTTTACATGAACATGCGGTGCCTTTCAACAGATGTGACCTGTAACTTGGTGGCATCACCTGTCTCTAAGGAGATGTTTTTAATGTCATACTATGGAACATTCCAAGCAAAGCAATTTCTCAGTGGAGACAAACAGGTGACAGACCCTCAACCAGAAGTAGTTAGTGCACCTTTAAAGGCCTGCAAAACCTTTTTTTTTTTTTTTTTTTTTTTTTTTTAAACAGTATTCGTTAAATTATAGAAACAGTAAAGCAATCCCAGGTGAATGTCTGAAGATGCATCATATAACATTTGTTGATTATCCACACCCAGCAGTGTATCCACCCATCATTTGATTTGTGTGTTGTCAATAATTGAATACAGTATTGTTCTGGACACTGGTTTGTTTACTCACATGTGGCAATTGTTGAATGAGGGAAAAAATCCAGTCTACGTAAGAGGCAGTCTGGAGAGGGGGCCAGTAGCCTATATTATATTTAGTTTAATTATTAGTTTATACTTTATCTTTACATGATTGGGGACCATGGTTAGATCAGATATAAAACTCTTTTTTCTCCTTTGCTCCTTCACTTCCTCAGATCTTCATGTGCCTCTTGTGGATGCTGCTCCAGTTTGTAGTCTTAGCTCTGTACTGGGATGTCCCACCCCTCAGCTCCGCGGAGGGGGGCACTGCCATGGTGGAGATGAAACAGGACGAGGGTGTGGGGGTGGAGGAGGAGGCGCCTCTCATGAGCCCGGACCAGGACCTAACCGCACACACCTACAGCACCGTGAACACCGACCTGCTCGAGAACTCATCCGAAATGCACCCAGTCAGCCGCACATCCAACCCCTTCAAAAACTTCAGCGCCAGTCGAGGTGAGCTGTCCTGACCAATGACTACCTGCCCAGTCTTTTGTGTTGCAGGGAGCAGCAGATGTCACCCTCAATGTTTCATATCTGTTGCATTGATTTACTGTGCTGACACACACTTTCCCTTGGAGGAAGTGCACGCCGCGTCCTTGTATAGATCAGTGTGTATGCATCCAGCCACATTAGCATTAAAGTACATGAAATGCCAGCAGTGATTGTCCTATGGCATTGATGAAGCTCCCCCGCTCTTTCTCTTTCTTGTCAAACCTGCGTATCGATCCCTTCACTCTCTAAAGATATGGCAGAGAAATGGATGTCTGACTTCCCGTTTTATTGACCGCCCCGCTGTGCTTGACTTGTGGATGAAATAGAGACAGAATTAGTAATATGGTCAACATCCTTCGTATTGATTCTTTTTTGTGTTTTGAAGTGAATCTACAGTGCAAGAAGCAAGCAGAGAAAGCCAAGGGTATCTGGCAGCTCCGGCTCAGAGCAGGGAGTGTAATAGTGGTTACAGTGTCTCTGGTATTCGCTTTTGTGAATTATTGATTCCCTCCTCACTTTTGTGTAAGCCATCTTCTTGGTGCTTTCTTAAAACCCGGGTGAGAAGGAATGGTCTTATTTTAAGAATGGTAAAAACTCTCAAAACCATGTTGCAACAGATAGGCCTATATCTTCAATATTACACCATTCAACTTCCTTTCTCTTATGGTATTTCTGAACTGTTATTTTTTTATTTAAAGGTGCACTGTGTAAAATTTCTTGTGGATGGCCCGTCACCTGCTTATCTCCATGGAAATATTTTGCTTTCTACTAGACATGGACATTGTCACCATATTTTTAAATAATTTACACTGTGAAAATTCTTCAGGGAGGGCCATGGTTATCTCCAATATACACGGGCAGTGACATTTGAAAGAATCTCTGTAGGCCAAAAATATCGACCACACATTATACCACCACTAGCAGTCCAAATCAATGTTACAGGAGGATCAATTCATGTTTTCATGTTGTTTTCTCCAAATTCTTCAAAGCTTTCGTCCACTTTCAACAAATCATTGTGAAAACAAAATTACATATTATTTGTCTTTTGATAAATTGTCATAGCATAGTAGATTTTGGTTTGTGGAACTTAGGCATTAAAGGTTGTTGACTGATCACGTAAACCAATTTGAGTTTGCACAAAATGTATGATATTGTTAAAGGGTACGACTCAATAACTATGGGCCTTCAGAGGGGTCTCGCACACATTCTCACCCACATGCTGGGGTTTCATGCTTCCTGGGGACATTACATTGACTCGCATTCATTTCCTGAAGACTGTTTTCTGTTTGAGAAAACACCAAAAATGCAGAGTTTGTGTGTTAAACATGTGTGAATGAAACAAACACAACTCGAGGTATGTTTGTGATGAGGAAACAACATTATAACATAGATCAGAAAACAGTGTTATATGAGCCCTTTAATCTAAATCCTACATTATCCGATTTTAACCAATATCTAAATTGTGTTTTTGATCTAATAATGAAAGATTTCCATCATGTTTTTAGGGAGACAGGTTCCAATGAATTGAGTGTCTATAGTGCACCGACAATGTGTTAAAAACCATTTAGTAAGGGTAATTTAGAGTTACCAGTTCACCCAACATGCATGAGATACTGGGAGAAAACTGGAGAGAATAAAGAGAATTTAACAATTTGTACAATGTTTTAATCTCTTATAAATGGTTAATGCATCCTTCCATAAAATCCTTCTTTCAATTATAACCAAGTGAATTTGCAGTCTAGTGTAGTAAGTGCACAATCCAAATTAAACCTGTGTAATAAAACATGCTCTCAGGCCAGTATTCATATTAGCAGAAATTCCCCGGGACACTGTTACTCATTACATATCGACATGGAGTTTGCAGTCAGGGAAATTGTAATTGAACAGTATATCTATTGCATTGGGCGAGACACAATCCAGATCGTTTAAAATGCTGCTTAAAGTCAATACTTCTTCTTCTTCCTCCACTGTCTCAAATATCCACAAACTCTGGGGATAAAGTACAAAACAAAATTAAATCAAACTACTTTCTTGAGCCATCTGGCAATAAATGTCCAAATTTAGCAGCAAGCCGATCTCACATTGCCTGAAGTCCAAGTCCCCATAAGGGTCTTTGTTTTGCAGGAAATCCTCCATCAGAATGTGAGGGAACAACACAGCAGTACAGCCAGGATTTTTCTCACGTCTTCCAAACCCGAGATCACATGCAGTCAGTCATAGTTCCCTTAGCTGTTTCATCGTGTTAAATTGGTTTAAAAATGTGATGCGGTTTTCAGATATTTTCCTTGTGTGCTTGTATCTAGAGTTTCTGAGAGAGGAGGTGGTGGTTCTGCTGACAGCTCAGTTCATAACGCTCTTCAATCAGACTGCGCTTGAGGTGAGAGACGCGGCGCTGGTCGGATCCATCTGCTCAGGTTTCAGACTTTTCACATAGTGTCAGAGTGCCTTCACCCCAGTGCTACTCACTCCTCTCCTCACAGCCTCGTCTGGAAAACTACTACAGGCAAACAGAGGAGTGTGGTATATAAATATGAAATATTCAGATGAGTTCCTTTACATTACTTAAAGATATGCTCTGTAGCTTTTATGGTGGAATAGCCATCACCTGTTTGCCTCAGTGGAAATGGCATTTGTTTTGCCTGGAATTTTCCACAGTATGGTATCAAATCTACAGTCCCTGACAAAAGTCTTGTCGCTTATCCATTTTGTAGAAACAAAAGCTTATAACTTGACTTTAAATTAATCGATTGGTTTTAGAAATGTCTCATATGAAAGCTAAAACCCTCCCAAATTATGCTCAATATACTAAAAAAATTTGCTTCACTGAAAAAAGATTGATCATTTAATGAACACAGAAAGGTCAGATTTTGGCAAGACAAAAGTCTTGTCGCCTTGTCATATGATGCACCCAATTCTAGATTACAGCCTCACCTGTGATCAGTTACTGATCAATCAGTTAGTGGGTGTGTATAAAAAGAACCCCAGCACACCAGACCTTCACATCAACTGCAACTTGACCTCTGACAACATGCTTAAGATCCACCCTGAGACCAAAGTGTTAATTATTAAGAGGCTGAAGACCAGATCCACTGCTGAGGTGGCTGACATCTTCAATGTGTCTCAGCGTCAAGTACAAAGAATAAGAAAAAGATCTGAAATGACTGGAGATATTTTTGACAAGCCCAGGTCCGGCAGACCCCGCAAGACAACTGCTTGGGAGGACCGTTTGTTGATTCGAAAATCCAAGGCCAGCCCCTTTTCCACTGCAGCAGACTCCACCAGGCCTGGTCACCTCAAGTCCCTGTGTCAACCAGAACAGTTTGTAGAATTCTGTCTCAAAATGGCCTCCATGGTCGAATCAGTGCACAGAAACCAGCACTAAACAAAAGGCAATAAAAAAAACGTGTGGCATTTGCCAAGGGCCACAGCCTGCTAAAAGGATGGACACTGGAAAAGTGGCAGAAGGTGGATTTCTCAGATGAATCCTCGGTTTAATTACATCACAGCCGCCGCAAATATTGCAGGAGACCTACTGGAGCCTGCATGGATCCAAGATTCACCCAGAAAACAGTTAAGTTTGGTGGCGGAAAAATCATGGTCTGGGGTTCCATCCAGTATGGGGCTGTGCGAGACATTTGCAGGGTGGAAGGCAAATATCAATAGCCTAAAATATCAAGAAGTATTAGCTCCTCTTACATTCCCAACCATAAAAGGGGTCAAATTTTGCAGCAGGATGTGCTCCATCGCGTACTTCTATCTCAACATCAAAGTTTCTCAAGGCGAAGAAGATCAAGGTGCTCCAGGACTGGCCAGCCCAGTCACCAGACATGAACATCATTGAGCATGTCTGGGGTAGAATGAAAGAGGAAGCATGGAAGGCAAAACCAAAGAATCTTGATGAACTCTGGGAGACATGTAAGACGCTTTCTTTGCTATTCCTGATGACTTCATCAACAAATTGTATGAATCATTGTGGAACCGCATGGATGCGTCCTTCAAGCTCATGGAAGTCATACAAGATATTAAATATGGATCTCACAGCACCACTACTTAATTCACTGACGTTATGCAACATATTTTTGTATTTGAAGTAAATTATTTGTTCAATTTTCTGTAGGCGACAAAACTTTTGTCTTGCCAAAATCTGACCTCTGTGTTCATTAAATGATCAATCTTTTTTCAGTGAAGCAAGTTTATTTTAGTATATTGAGCATAATTTGGGAGGGTTTTAGCTTTCATATGAGACATTTCTAAAACCAATCGATTAATTTAAAGTCAAGTTATAAGCTTTTGTTTCTACAAAATGGACAAGCGACAAGACTTTTGTCAGGGACTGTAAAGCGGTAGACAGTTTTATAGATCTACATGACATGTTTCATTTATTGATCTAACCATATACACTCATATAAAATTGGCAAACTTACTAGTACTAGTTAACCAATTAATTTTCATCTACAGTCCTTAAAAAGAAAGAGGAAGGGAAACTTTACAAATTTAAAACATTAAAACCATTAAAATGTTTTACACCAAAAATAGACAATAGATAGATAATGTATTTGATTAAAAGCACTAAAACCATCAGGCCTTATCTCTGTGATAGCTCTGTGAAAGTACTGAAGTGGCGACTATGCTGCTATGTCCTGGCCCCGGGTTATGTAATTCAATTTCAATATCAAAACATCCGTATTCTTTTGATGTGGACCGAAGCGCTGACTCTGAAGGACTTAAAAGGTCCATGTCTCATCTTTAATTATAATCTCAACTTCTGCTCCTGCCTGCCCCAAACCCTCTGACCTGTCTTTTGTCTCTCACCCTCTCTCCCAGACGATGGTGACACCCATGACGCAGCGCTACTTCAGCTTCGGGGAGCTGGGGAACAGTCTCATGTACAGTTTGTGTGGGGTGGAGGTGATCCTGGGCTTCTTCTTTGTGCGCTGGCTCAGCAGGACCGTGTCTGACCGCGCCATCTTGGCCATAGGTCTGGTCATCTGCAGCGCTGCCTGTATATGGTGCATCGCCTTCCTGTGTGAACCAAGAGGTGAAGTATTTTTTTTAAAGGGGCACTGTGTAACTTTTGTGGTAGAGGACCCACCACTTACTCGTCACCATGGATTGTTGCTTTACCTCCAAGCCATACTGGATTGTGAAAGCCTGATCCCGTCAGACTTAAGAAGCTAAGCAAGGCTGGGCCTGGGTAGTACTTGGATGGGCGACCGCTGGGAAAATCAGGTGCCACAGTGGGGCACCTGTCACAGAAAAGTGTTGTTGTCTCCTTAGGCAAGGCACATCACCCACATTGCACTGTATGAAAGGGGTGTGCGTGAGTGATGGTGGTGGTCTGAGGGACTGATGGCGCCAATTGGCATAGCAGCCACACGTCAGTCAGTTTGCCCTCAGGGCAGCTGTGGCTACGATATTACCACCGCCGGGTATGGAGTGACTGAATAATGCTCTGTAAAGCGTCATTGTGACAAATGTCTGTGAAAAGTGCTATATAAATTTAAAAACTTACTTACTTAATATTCCAAAGTATGGCATTAAACTTCTCAGTGTCCATAGAAACAAGGAGGAGATGCCACCAGGTCATTTTTGAGGTGAGTTCTGTGAAGATGTGACCTCACTCGAAGTAAGAATGAAGGTATTTTTAGCAATAAAAACAACCATGACTAAATAAATACACCTTATATAAGTTTAATACCATATTGTAGAACATTACAGGCAAAGCAAAAGCATCTCCATTGTAGTGGACCTCTAACCTGAAAAGGTTAATACATCCGTTAATACATCTTGTACTACTTATAATAGAAAACTGTGACTCTACAAGTGAAGCAACCCCATTATATCACTTATTAACTACAACTGTTATGATGAATAGATTATTCTCCATCTAACCAGAAGCTAAAGGTGCACTATGTAAATTTTCTGGTGGGAGGATGACCTGCTTGTCTCTACGAAGATGTTACTGAATTGCCTGTATTACTCAACAGTGTGACATAAAATTCATATAACTTGCTTTTTTCCAGGCTTTATTGCTTAATATTGCTTAATGAAAAACTTGTGACCTACAACTTCGCCTGATGATGTCATCTGCTTGTCTCCTACAATAGAGAAATTCAGTGCTATACTGTGGAACATTCCAGGCAAAGCAACAATATCTCCAAGGAGACAAGCAAGTGGCTAACCCTCCACCAGAAATAGGGCAGCGTTAATGCATTGGTTTGTACTCCAGTCTTCGTTCACTGTTTTCCCCATTGCCCACCCCAGGCACAGTCACTGGTTACAACCCCTGATGAAAAGGCGAAAAGCCCGTTGGAAAAATATATAATTCATTTCTTAAGTACCCAAGTCATTTGTCGCCTCTCAGTAACTGCGTTGAGATGAGAGCCTATTGGATTACACAGAGAATACCCACTATAAATGATATGACAGGACAGCAGTGGCGAGACAGTTTTTGTCTGTTGTAACTTGTCTCGATTATCCCTGTGATTCCAAGTGGCAGGTGCTGCTGTATGAGAACACATATAAAAGGATTACTGTAATCTAATTAGGCAAAAACGTTATTTGCTTAAAGCATATCCCGCCTTTTGTTTTGAACTGAAAAAATATTGACAAACAAAGAATTCAAAGGACAAATACCTGAAAAAACAATGTTGAAATTGCGTTTTCATTATAAGATTATAGTCATCTCTGAAGGGAACATTGAAAGCTGTGAGCGGGCATGCATCCACTACACAAAGACATGATGCAAGGCAGAACAAAAAATGTACGAGTCTTCAGCTTGGCAAGTCCTATGCATCGAGATAGAGATTCTGCCAGCCCATTTGTGGAAGGAATTAACCCGCCTTCATGCCCCACCATTGGAGAGAAATATGACAAAACAATGAAACCATGGCCCGGTGGTTAAGCTTTATAGCAGAGAAATCAAAAGCAACAAAAGCATTAGGGATTTGTCAAAAGGATGGATAGTTTGGCCTGTGATAGATAGTGCTGCTCAGTCTGTAGAAGCACTGATATTTCAATAAGCAGACTTGGCTAATGACGCTGTACTGTTGTCATCTGCCCTCTATTGGCAGGTGGTTACGAATGGAAGCTGTCGGCATTTATTATCGGAGTCTTTCTGCAACTTCTGGGCCTTCCTTTTGTGGCGGTGTCTCAGGTGTCTCTCTTCTCCAAAGTCACCGCTGAGAAAACACAAGGTTTGTTTGTGTTTACAGTCTCTGTTTTATACACTGGCTGGATTTAGGCTCATGAACCTAAGTTGTGTGTGTTGAAAATATTGAAGAACTACTGCATGGACAAGGGAGACTTCCAGGAGTTATTTCAGAGCAGAAATGATCAACACTGTAGCCGCAAAAACGCAATATTCTTTGGACAAACTGGATATTTATTTATTTGGACTCAACCACATCTTGTTTTGGTTTTGTGCAAAAAATGTCTAAGATTAATAGAATGAATAGCCCAGTGTAGCTCAGTGTTTTTCAAACTGCAGTGTGTGTACCAATGGTCATACGCAAACTCCTTCAAGCTTCAATGTGCAGATTTCTCTCCATTTTAATTATTCTGTGAATTTAGAGTAAATTTTATTCACATTTTTGTCCTTTTAAAAGTTAGTTGCTAGTGTAGTCCTATATTAGACCTGATTTTGCCCTAATTTAGACCTAGAATTGTCTTGTTCAGTGATTCAGTGGACTTGGTTTAGATCTACTGGTACTCAGAAAGCCAAATTTTTTCCTTCGTGGTACTTTGTGTAACAATTTGAAAACCACTGAAATAGCCAATAATAGAAATCTTATAACACAAACGCAATTTCACTTTACATCCTCTTAGACTTAGACTTAGACAAACTTTAATGATCCACAAGGGAAATTATCTGAACACAGTAGCTCACACATCACAATATAATATTAATAACTTCTAACATCTTAACTTAACTTCTAATATCTTCTAACATCTGCTAATAAATTCTATATTTTTTAGTCTTTACTCTGTGCTTTTTTTCTACTCATAATTGAATTGTATTTTAACACTTATGATCAGCATATGTTAGTTAAACTGAGCCATATCTTGTGGGATGTGTTGCCCATAGGCTTCAGCCAAGGCGTCAGGCGCTCTGTAGGGGGCGTCGCCACCATCCTGGGTCCTCTGTGGGCTGGCGGTTTGACCAATAACTTATATATAATGCTGGGGATGATGCTGGCTCTGCTCATAATGATCTCGGTAAGTAGTCCATTGATGTATTGATCAGAGGAACCAATACTGTAGCTATGGCAACAATAACAGACATTATAGCATGAAGCAGACGTTTAGGCACCACGTCAAGACTAGGAAGCTTTGCCAATCCTTTTCTTTTTTCAGAAAATAGAATAAGGGTTGGCCTGGTATGGATTTTAAGTTCAGAAGATTTAATTTTCTTTCCTTTGGACATTTTCCTTAACATGGAGTCACATGCAATTTTGTCTTAATTTGGTATTTTAGATGTCCTACCTTCGTTCATCCAGACATGTGAGCTGTATCGGTAATGTCTTCAGGCTTTAAAACCTTTGTAGTTAGTTAGACTTACCAACAAAATATAGACATAATTTGAGGCAAACTTAATAAACACTGAAACTACAATTTGATTGAAAGCTGAAGAATGCAACTAAATAGAGTCACATACCCATGAATATTTTGTGTCAGTCTCAAGCCTGGATAAATGTAGGCGACATATTACATGATAGGGATCAATAAGAATAGCAAACCTATACATAACAAATATGCAGATTATTTCAATGTGAGATGTAAACTTTTGATCTGAATTTCCATAAACTTGGTGAATTATGTCACGTTTTAGGGTAAGGGTCTATTACCTGCTTGTCTCGAGGGAAAAATTATTGCTTTGATTGTTCCGTGGTATGGCATTAAATATATAATTTACATTTATTCAATTAGAGGCATTTTTATTGCCTTGAAAAACGTGCATTCTTACTGTGAGTGGAGTCGCCTTTTTACAAATCTAACCTGCAGCTTGGCTTGACGTCACCAGCTTGTCTCCATGAACATTTAATGCCATACTAAAGAACATTCCAGGCAAAGCAGAGACAAGCAGCTGGCAGAACCTGCATCAGAAAAGTCACATAGTGCACCTTTAATTTCTTACTCATAGATGATTGGATGCTGGAGGACCATGAATGATGCCGCCCACAAAGATATTACTTTTCCATTGTACTGTAGCCATGTGACTTTTTTGACTGTGCAATAGTTTTAAAAGCATTAACTCTCCCTTGTTGTGTTGCTCTTTTTTTTCAGGTTATGACAGCATTGTCCTATGAGCGCCTGACTGAACCCAGACGAGTTGAGTGTGCCCACAGCTCTGACAGTGGGGGGTAAAACTGCAAAAATCGCAAGAATATACTAAAAAAGGGACAAGATGACTGCACCGGAGAAGCCTGCTGACGCTCATAATGTGTCAGTCCACCCCCCGGACTGTTAATTACATTTTACACCAGGGGGCACTGTTGTTCTCACGTTTAAGTCATCATAATTGAAGATGAAACGCCTATTATTTTTAAACAGAGCTATTTATACCCCCAGGTGTCGACGAAAAGATAAAAGGAGACGGTTTTTCCATGTGACCTAACTTTTATTTCAACGCTTTCATGTTGCGAACAAAAATAAATAAATAAAAAAACAACACCGAACAACAAACTTCTGTGAAATTGAACCAGCTGACATATTGAGAGCAGAATTAGAGTTGTCAACATCTAAGCAAGTTTTGTCACTGAGTTCGACAAGGAAATTAGACGAGAAGACTCCAGAAAGCATTGTATTTTCACGAGATTTTAGTTTCAAACGTTCTTGTCTTGAGTGGATCTTAATTGCGTGAGAAGAAACGCCTGAATTAAAAACCAAACTTGTTAATTACTGCGAGTCTATCTTTTCTCTATGGGGAGGATTTAAACATTAATTGCTCGTAGTTCATTATTCAAAAAAGAGTCGAGGTGTGACTTGAGTGCAGTCAGCTGTTCTTACTTCGCCTCTAGGGTGCGCTGTGTGCTATATGTCGGAGCGCAACATCAAGGCTTGCAGAATCCCTTTGTACCAAGCGATGCGCGCCGGGCCAATCTCAGTGTTTTTGCATAATTGCAGATAAGGCTTAGTAACCTTTCCAGTTTTCTACGCTCAGCATGAGACATTTGGGGTAGTATTTTCCCCTAAAATGGAAATTGTAATCTCGTGGACTCAAGGACCTAATATATAAGCTAGGTCTAAACACTCCCAAGCCCTGATCAGCGCACGGAGGTACTTGACATTTTAACAGAGATAACAGGGCGCGCAGAATTAGGCCATAGCTCATTTGGATCTGTTTGAACAAGCTGATTTCTGTTTTTCAAGAATTATCTTCAAAAAGGCCTTGAAATATGGTATCTCACAACACTGTAGTTTTGGGAAAGTGGCCTAATTGTTTCCATGCCAACCCAGACTAATCTGTCATTTCCGTTTGTCACACTTGAGAGACTGGTCTATTGTGTGCTGAAATATAAAGGCTCGTGTCTATAGACCACTGTAACACATAATGGACAAGGCAATTTTACAATGTGACAACGTTTTATGTGTATTAATTATTATTATGGAGTCAATTGGATAATGTTTTCATTTAAAACAATTGCACATAAGAGTGCTGCTATACTGTTGAGTAAAACAGTACATATACCTGTATAATAGTTTATGTGATCTATATTAACATTTATAGGCCCTTGAGATGCATCATCTCTTTTACAAAGGAGTCCTGATCTTTAGGCAAGAAGATGATTAAGATGTAGAGATAAGAGATTAAGAATAGGCCTATAATATTTTGGTTTATAAGGGGCTTTTTGGACCATCACAAATATTAACATTTTAATCGGTGGTGGTTAACTACCACAGCAGAGAAGGTCATACTCAAAGACATTAGGCCTGACAAGATAACAAAGATTGAAGTCTAGTATATTGGTGAAGTAAATATAAATGATAAACAATAATATTGAAACAAATTTATGTCACTGACATACAACCCAAGAGCAGATTTAAAACTATTCTAAATGTTCAGTATTGTTTTTAAAAAGTCATGGACTCCAGTAAACAAACAGCAGAATTAAACACTTCAGCACTTAGGTTGTAATGAGTCATAGGAGTCATTCATTGAGCATTTTATGGCTTACATCTTATCGTATAAACAAAAATAACAAAAAATAAATAAAAAAATGTCCCAATAGTGCAAAGAAAATGTACCCATGATAAACATTAACCCCCCAAAATATCGTTCCACTATTCCTGTACTGAACAATAAGTTGATATAGTATCTATCACGACAGGCCTAAAAAACACAACTGTCTGCACTGACCAGAGCAGGGATCTAACAAACAGCTCCACCTGAGCCACTGTCATCCACTGCTGTATTTTGTATTTAAATTGTTATTATTATTATTATTATTATTATTAGTATTAGTATTATTTGTATTGTTATGACTAACTATGTTTAATTAGCAGCTTTTGTCTGAATACTGCCTCTGCCATAGCTGCTTTGACTTGTCTCTCTGTACTTGTGTGCAGCCTATAGGCCTATATTGCGATGCTTTTAAATGGATGTGGACTCAGCCTGATATTTAGACAGAGCGCTGAAATCTCTATCTCAATCTGGTCTCAACAGTGTTTCTCACTAAGAGCCCACAGAGGCCGTACAGCCCCTCAGGACATAAATAGACAAGTCCTCGGCCGTGGCTTCTATGTTAAATATACTAAAGCAACACAAGCTCAGCTTATGAAATTTTAAACATACACAGAACAACCATTTCACGCACGAGCCAACAATCGGTTCTCTGGACGATGGCCGAAGGCTGGTCGCTATGGAGATGGAGGTTTTCGAGGGTAGAAGCAACAGCCAAGGATAAAACAGTATTATGTAATTTAAGAGTAGGACCTTGGGTTATTCTAGTGGTGCTGACGCAGGTGAAGAGCTGTGGAGTACAATGGTCAGGGAGGATGACTGTGCGACTCAAATAGCTCAGTCTAGTTGAGTGTATCTGTTATACAGCGTGAACCATATACTGAAGTATCCGGATACAAGCCTCCCAGATACAAGGTGAGCTAAGTTTGGAAATAGTACAAAATAATTCACTTCTTGAACTGTTATGCAATGCTGTCCAAAAGTTTCTATCATAGTTTATTGGTTATTCTCTTATAGCAAGACAATTTATAAAATATTTGATGAAATGTACCAATGGTTTATCATAATCCATGGTGGAATGTAACTAAGTAAAAATAGTAATGCACTGTATTTGAGTATAAATTTGAGGTACTTTTACTTTACTTATGTACATTTTAAAGTAGATACTTTTTGCTTTTACTTCACTACATTTGAGAGCCGGTATCTGTACTTTTTACTCCACTACATTTCTGAACAGGACAGAAAAGTAAAAGTGTTTGAGACAAAGTTGTTTGAGACTTGCTGAAAAAGATCAGGGGTTTTTATAAAGTTCATAGTTTGAGCAAAGAGAAATCTACAAATAAAAACAGCTAAAAAATATCTAGAGCAAATTGTTTCTACTGAACAAATTCAGCACAAATCTTGATCAAAATCAATACATCTGAAACCTTATAAGACCTCAACATATATGTGCAAAATATTATTTTTACTTTTTAAGTCTCATTTTCTCTTTAAACAGGCACCTTAATATTTTTTAACTGAAGTATTTTTTTTAAAATGTGATACTTTTACTTATTTATTTTTTGCTCCAGTATATGTAACCTATTGAATATTTCTTCACTACTGATCATAATTCATTTATATTATCTCTCTATCTTTATAATACTGCTTTGTCATCTGCAAATAGACATTTCTAGTCCTCTTATATCCCTTCTCCTACATGTATTCTGTTCTTCAGTGTTTTGTTTTCATAATAATAAGAAACATTAGCATTTAAACCTCCCCCATAATGCTACATGCTTAAACGTTTGACATGTCTGACCTATACACTAACCTTTACATATATACATTGCAAATGCACATAGTATTGATTTTAGCACATAGCAGAAAACCTTCATTCTATCTTTAAAGCTAGTGCTATTTTTACTGCACCAGGGACTGTGAACATCAGAGGAACTGTGGCTTAACCCAAAATTTACAGTTAATTGTAGTTGGACATTTGCTGCAGGCTTTAACTTGTACATCTTTAATAAAATGTAATGAAATATATCCTATTTTCATCAAGGGCAATTTCACCCAGGGCTGGTGCCACTTTGTGCATTGAGCAGCTCTGAAGCCAAATTGACGCTGTCACCTAACAAAGATAAAGGTAATTGGTTGCAAAGAGGAAAACAGTATTTGACTGGAGCCCATGTATAATAATTATGTTAGGAGCAGAGAGGGGCTGGGCTCTTCCTGATGGCATTAGCTGGACCGAGCACACTTGTTAATGGCTCGCAGATGATAGATGAGCCATCACCTACTGGAAAAATATGAAGGGCGAAGAAATCAGGCCAGCATCAGACACGCAACATTACTATTCATTTTGGTCATTTGAATTTTTGCACATGCTTGTTTTTTTAATTCAAAAACATAAGAGTCATTTACCTCCAACTCTTTGTGCCAGTCCCAAACTTGCATGCACAGAGAAGGTTGTGTCAGCGTATCTAGCATGAATATTTTTAATAGGCAAAATCACAGGAAACAATTGGACGTTTAGACGTGGTAGAATGATAAGTCTGGGGAGGCTGACAAACTCCACCATCTCCCCCTTCGACCACATTCACTCATACATTAAAGAGGTTGAAGTGTCTTGCGAAATGGCACGACAGTACGCCTTGGTTGGAGAGCAATCAATCTGCTGATCAGGTAGTGGGCAAACGCTATAACCACTGAGCCACTTACCTGACCAGCCAGAACCACATGCTTTGACAAAACTTTACAAAGATGAGTGGAACCGTATCATGTCTCCCTGATTCCAGACGGCATGATTGACAGGTGACTAAACCAATCAGAGAGACGCATGCTCTGTTCGCAGTAAAAAATAGAAAAAACACAATGTAGAGTATTGAAAAACAGCATGGATTTTCTCAGAATCAACAATCAAAGCACCAAACACCAAACAAAATTAATGATGATTGTTGGACCGTCTCAAGTATGGATGGAGGATTTTCATGCTCTATGGTCCGAACTCAGACCCTTCTGTATTCTAACCGAATGTAGAAAAGACTGGCTGGTCAGGCAACTGAGCCACTGCCACCCTTATCATAGCTGTGATTCATTATTCAACAGAAAAACATTACGTGACCTCTGCAACTTTTTGATCTTGACCCAGTAGTTGAGAAGCAATGTAACAGCACTAGTGTTATCATGGCTCATCCTACTT